GAGCAGCATCCTTTGGGGCCATCACAGCCCCCTTTCCATTTCAGGAGCAGGGGCCCCAGTACCCAGAGCCCACTCTGAGAGCTTTGCTGGGCTCTGGGACCTGGCCAGTTCCCTTAATGGGAGAGACAGCTTTAGGGCCAACAGGTGGTCTGTGGCGGGAGGGGCACCGGTTTGGATGGCAATAAACCACCTGGTTATATGTTATTCATAAGCACTTTATGCTTCCTCCTGTCCCCCTTCCCCGCCTACCCCTCCTTTGAGACCTGGGGAACAGAAGGGGTCAGAGAGGATGTGTGTAGGACACAGCCTCCACTGGGAGCATTGAGCTGTGTGTTACCTTGGGAAACTGCCTGAGCAAATGATGAAGGCCTGTTGTGGTTCTCCGAAGACCACCATGGGGCTGGGCTGGAGGACTGACATTGGAACCAGGGACAGCTATATTATTTGCAAGGCCTGGTGCACAGTGAAAATGAGGGACTTTTGTTTAAAAAGTGGAAACAGCGCTTTATTCTCCCACAGTCTCCATCTGTCTGGGTGTTTTGTCACACTCTGGCATGGAGATGCTTAGCGTGAGTGCAGACCCTCCCAGGTACCCAGGCTTCTGCTCCAGTTTGGTAAAAAGAACCTGTGTGCCTAACCCTGACCTTCCCTGTTCTTGTGCCTAGTCCCCTGCTGGGAAAGGAAGATGGCAGCTCTTCCCTGGTAGGGGCAGGGGGACAGCAAAGACTCACCCCTGGGATGCAAGTGTCTCAGCATAAGCTCCAGCTCACTTCACTTCTCTCTCTCTTTTTTAAAGGTATTTATAGTTTTATTCTACTACTACTTTTAAATATATCAAGCAATTCTACATATATAGAAGGACTAGATATTCCACATGAGCACTTGTCCATTATGCACACAACAACTGGTAAATAAAATTGCACATGTAGCAATGGTTTCCTTCTAAAACATAAATTCAAGATGATATTAAGAATTTCCAGCCAGGCATGGTGGTGCACATCTGTAATCCCAGTGGCTCTGGAGACTGAGGCAGGAGGATTTGAGAGTTCAAAGCCAGCCTCAGCAACAGTAAGGCACTAAGCAACTCGGTGAGACCCTGTCTCTAAATAAAATATAAAATAGTGCTGGGGATATGGCTCAGTGGTCGAGTGCCCCTGAGTTCAATTCCTGGTGTGTTAGGAGCCACAGCAAAAATATTGATACAGGCACCTTTGGATTTTATTGACTGCCAGCCAGCAATTCACATTCATATGGTAATTGGACTCATGCTGTCCAGCTGGGCCCAATTTCAGGACTCAGGTTACTCATGTCACTCTTGTAATGGGAGAGTTCCCATTGGTTGGAAAAGGATGGTAGGAGGGTGTTCCGGGGGAAGTGGAAACCCCCCCGGCTCAGGTAGACACACACGTGTGGACCCACTTGTTAGGGGACGCACATGGCCTCTCTCTAAATAAAACTTTGTCTCAGTTTGACTGGCTTGTGTTTTTGTGCCCAACCGGGCTGTAAGATTGCAAGCCGGCGTGCACTGATAGCTCAGCAGGGGATCGCTCAGCAGGGGTGCCGCAGGCAGTGATCGGCGAGCGGCAGGAACGGGGCTCAGCCAGCTCGCTCGACCCGGGTCCGGGCAGCCTGCGGCACTGGTGTACACACAAAGAATTTCCAGGGGCTGGAGTTGTAGCTCCGTGGTAGAGCGCTTGCCTAGCACATGCGAGGCACTGTGTTCAATCCTTAGTGCCACATACAAATAATAATAATAATAATAATAATAATAATAATAATAATAATAATTTTAAAAAGAATTTCCAGGTGGCTAGCTCAGGAGGAGAACTTGCAGAAGGATCACAAGTTCAAAACCAGCCTCAGCAACGAGGCCCTAAGCAACTTGGCAAGACCCTGTCTCCAAATAAAAATATAAAAGGGCTGGGGATGTGGCTCCAGGATTAAGCACCCCTGGATTCAATCCTCAGTACCAGAAAAAAAAAGAATTTTTCAGACAGCAACTTCAGAGCATAAACTCCAAATAGTGGGTTCCCTTGTGAGAATGGGCCCTAGAAGACTAATGATCACACACCTGCTCGATTGGCCCTGCCTTGGACATCTGTCCCTGGAATTGCCTTTGGCCAATCTTTGTCCACTGACAAAGTCTGAGCTCCAAGAGGGCAGGGGATTGTAAGTGCTGGTGCCTTTTTCTTTTTAGTCACAGCTTCTGGAGGCACAGTAGTGGCCTCTTTTTCCCTGGGCAGTGATATAATCTTAGGGCCCATCTCCTGGTCATCTGCTCTCAGCATGGCATGAGACACCTCACCTAGCTCCTCAGGACACTGGGAAGTAGTGGCCACCTGAGGTTAAGGTCTGGGATGCCCCTTCTGGGTTCAGGAGGAAACTGCCCTCTTTAGCCCCACGAGCCTGACGTGGTGGATTCTGGGGACTCTAAATCTCAACTATTTGCTTCCCAGACATACACTCCAGAGAAAACTTCCTAAATGGCCCCACTTCTTCCCCTTGTCTCTTTGTTCCTTACAGCAGACGAGCCTACTTCCTAATCCCTGAAACCTGAAAAAGAATGTCATCTTGCATGATGATGTGACTAAGATTTAAGAGATGGGGAGTGTTATGAGCTCAATTTGTGCCTCACAAATTCACTTTTTTTTTTTCTTTTCCTCAGGGATTGAACACAGGGCCACTCAACCACTAAACCACTTCTCCAGCCCTTTTTAAAATTTTATTTAGAGACAGGGTCTCACTGAGTTGCTTAGGGTTTGCTAAGTTACTGAGGCAGGCTTTGAATTCCTGATCCTCCTGCCTCAGCCTTCAGAGCCACTGGGATTACAGGCATACATCATCACATGTCTGGCCCAAATTCACATCTTAAAGCCCTAACTCCTGGAACCTCAGAATGTGACAATATTTGGATATAGGAACTTTAAAGAAGTGACTAAGTTAAAATCCAATCCAATCTCACTGGTGTCCTCATAAGAGGAAATCTGGACACACAAAGAGGCACCAGGGATAGAGCACTGACCTAGCAGAGGTGAGGCCTAGCAGAGGTGAGGCCCCGGGTTCCATTCCCAGCAGTGGGAGAAAAAAAAAAAAAAAAAAAAGATGGAGGGAGAGGCCATGAGCCAAGGAACACAGGTGGACTCTCCAAGCTGGAAAAGAGCAAGGAAACAGATGCTCCCTGTTGCTTCTAAGAGAAATGCATCCCTGCAACCACCTTAATTTTAGCTCCAGAAGCCTAATTTTGGATTTTTGGCCCCTAGAACTGTAAGAAAATAAATTTATGCTTTTGTTTTTTCTGATGACGGAGATTGAACTCCAGACCTCACACATGCTAAGTGTCCACTCATGCACTTGAGCTACACCCCCAATCCCAATTTATGCTGTTTAAAGCCACTATCATGATGTGTAACAGCAGCTACAGGAAATGAACACTTTCCCGTTCCAACTGCTGTAAGCTCAGTATTGTTTTCTAAAAAGTTTGCTTAAAAGGCATTCTATGTCCCAAGCCCATCTGGCCTCCATCCCATCCCTTCACAGCTGCATTCTGGAAGCTTTCTGGGTCCCACTGGCTGTCAGTCCTCTTTACAGGTACATACCACACAAGGACCATAATCTGTGCTCGACTGCATTTTGGGGGCCCAGGCCCAGCCCCTACAGTGCTAATGGCAATCATCCACACACATGTAACTCGGTGAGAGGGGTTTCCTGAGCCTGGCAGGTGCGCCTCAGCACACATTGGGTCCATTTTCTGTATACTTATGGGGCCACACCCCACTATGGCCAGCTCAGGATATGGGAGGGACAAGACTTCTAGGGCAAAACTGAAACAACAGATCACCTTCCAGGAGTGTACCAGACTCAGTCTGTCTAATAAACATTTACTGATTCTTTGTCCCTAACCAACAATCTTCCCAGTGTCACAGAGTCCCCCTCTTCCCTTCTCCCCTCTCCTTTAGCATCTGAAGGAGGGCAGGTGGGTTGGAAGCTACTTTTTGAGGATCTGGTTTTATATTTTCCTGTGCTGTAGTTTCTCCTGCCTGGTTAGAATGAGGTTATATCAGGCAATGCCATTTCTCACCATCTTGGCAGGGACCTTGGTGTTTCTTATTCATGGGAGTTGAAATATTAAAGGAGAGATAAAATGAGAACAGATAAAGGTCACAGAGGCAGAAAAGGATTCTGGGGACTGTAAGCATGTGGGTAACCCAGGCAAGAGATCCTTCTGGTGAGATGTGGGTTTTGCATCAGGCAGGATTAGGTGACATTTCTGTTTGTTTCATGTTAAGTTAGGCAGTTTGGCTTGGAGGACAGGATCCTATGGTAGGGCAAATTTTTTTTTTTTTTTTTTTTTTGTGATGATAGTGTGATACTCCCAGCCTAAAGAGTAACTTAAGAATCAACTTGGAGCCAGGTGTGGTGGCTCACACCTGTAATCCCAGCTTCTCAGGAGGCTGAGGCAAGAGGATCATGAATTCAAAGCCAGATTAAGCAAAAGCAAGGTGCTAAGCAACTCAGTGAGACCCTGTCTCTAAATAAAATACAAAATAGTGCTGGAGATGTGGCTCAGTAGTTAAGTGCCCCTGGGTTCAATCCCTGGTACCAAAAAAGAAAAAGAAAGAAAAGAATCAACTTGGTAAAGTGGGAGAGTATATGCTTAATATGCACAAAGACCTGGGTTCAGTCTTCAGCACCACATGCTCACACACAAGAGAATCAACTTGCCCAATGCCCTAATTTTAGAGGTATAGAAACCAAAGCTCTGAAAACTAAATGACTTGCTCAAGGTCACATGGTCTTTTGGAGGAAACACCAGGATTAGCTCAGGTCTTCTAAATCCCACTAGGCCTCTTCACTGCCCGAGCTTCTGGATCCCCTGGGAATGGACGTGAGAGGAACAGAAAGATATCAGGGCATCAAGGAAGGAATGGAAAGCTAGGAGCAAGTACCCTATATTTCTCATTTAAAAATCCATTTTATTCAATTTGGAAAATGAGTACAAATCCCTGGATATTTTTCTTGGTGGGGTTAGGGAACAGATGGGAAGAAGAGGATTGAGGCAAAGTACGTGCATCACAGTGGCTGCCTCAGGTCCCTGCCTGGGGAGGTGACGGTAGGGTGGGGTTGAGCAGGGAGCTCAGGTCCGGAGGAACACCATGGTGAGGAGGCCTGGAAGTAGAAAAACAAAGAGAAAGTCCCAGGAGCAGCCCTCCCCCGGCCCCTGCTCCCCTTTCTCTACAAGTGGGCCTGGGTCACACTACTACTTGCTCACCTAAGACATAGGCTGCCACCAACTTTTGTCCCAGGGAGACGTGCAGGACTTGTGGCAGTTGGCTGCCAAGTTCATCCTGGAGTGGGAGCAGCAGGAAGGCCACAGAGACAATGCCCGTCATCAAAAAGAGGAGGAAGGAGCTGGTAGCCAGTTGCTGGCGGGGGTCTGGGAAACAAGGCTCATCAGCATTGACAGTCCCCTAACCCTCTCAACTTTGGTCCCTTTCTTCCCTCTGCCTCATTACTGTCTTCCATACACAATGCAGACCAGCAGAATTGCTCCATAGAGGTCTATTGTTGAACTGAACTGAGCTGACACCTGATAGGAAGTATGATAGAGCTAAGGAAGAACTCTTTCCTCTAAGTAGAAACCAGAAACCAGAGAAATTGTAGTCTTTCTTCCCCTTAATACAAAATCTCAATTAGAAGTGTTTTCATCAAAAGGCAAAAGACTGGACCAGGAAACTTCTTCAAATTCAATTTAGCTCATTTCCAGAATAATGCTAGTTCCTCCCTCCAGACAGAATTCAAGAATCCCCATCTTCCAACTCACTCTCCTGCAAGTGTCTTGTCATGGGTGGTGCTGTCCAAGCAGGAGGCTCTGGGTTGGGTGTTGGCTGGGGCGGTCCCTGAAGTTCAAGGGGATAGGCTGGGGCCCGCAGAACTGAGGTGATGTCTTTGCGTCCCACCACTCTGCCCTGGGTCCCTTCCTCAGAAAGCTCAATTCGGAAGCGGTCCTGGATGTCATAGTGGCTGGGAATGGGGGCCACATGGCGAATCACACTAGCTCCAAGACAGGAGAGAAGCCCATTGGGAGGAAGTGAATGAGAAGTAGAAATTTAAGTAAATCCAGGTCTCCTCCCCAGGAACCTTTCCCTTAGGGACACAGAAGGTGGGGAAAACAATTTCAGGAAAACCCGGTCTCAGACCTAAGTGGCAGTGACCCCTGGCTTCCATCAGCCTCCCCAACTCCCAACTCACATGTCAATGCAGGACTGAGGCTTCACATATCCTTCTGCATCAAAAACCGTGTATTTGGCAGGTGCTGTACACAGGACTGTGGGATAAAGGTATACAAAGAAACCCTAAATAAGTCTGGCCTCGGTGTAACCAGCGTCCCCTCTGCCTTCTATTCCAGCCAGGGATGGTTAGGATTCTTCTAGTCACCAAGGGTGGGCATCTGGTCCTGCTCATCTGACTCTTCCAGCCCAACAACCAGCCCATTGAAGGACAACCCCTCAATGTCCTTCCACCAGGCCCCAGATCCCAAGCACGAGATGCCCATTCCTTCACCTCGGAAGCGAAGCGCGGTTCCCGTGGGGTTATAGAGGGTCAGCAGCTGCCGGGGTCCACTCCTTTGGTCCGCTCTGAATACTAGATCCGGGGGAAAGACGAGGACCGGGACAACGGATCCTGAGGGAGGAGGGGCGCCCCGGGACCCCCGCCCAGGGGCCCCCGGACCCACCAGCTCCTGGTCCTGGGGCGCCCCACGGCGCATGCAGGCTCTTGGCGGTCGGACATCCGAGGGCAGAGCTCAGGGGGCAGGGCCTGGAGTCTGTGGCTGGGGGCGCGAGGGACGAAAGAGGACAAGACTAGATCCTTGCGTAAGGCCTGGACTGATTCCGTTGCCACCTCGAAACCCCGCTGGATGCGGCTCTCGCAGACCCAGGCCCAGGACCCCCAAACCTCCCCTTCACAGTTCTGGTCCCGCCCCCAAGCTTCACCTCGACGGCCACGCCTACCTCGCCAAACCCTGCCCCTCGTGGCTCCCAATCCGGTCCTTCTCTTCGGGCCCGGGTCGCGATCTCCTATCCCTGCCCCGCTTCAGACCCCGCCTCTTCCGGGCTCTTCAGGGCTCCCGCCCAGTCTCTCTGGCCAGACTCCGCCCGCCACAGCGGCCACATCTGGAACTACCCTTTACGCCTCCGGCTCTCCGGGACACCTGTATCTACGATCCCTCCCCGACCTCGGCAGTGCCCGTCGAGCTTCCGTCTCCGAACAGCCGCTCGTGCTATGATGATCACCTTGTGGTCAAAGCACCTGCCAATCAGATGTGGCCAGACTGAGGGCGCCATCTTCCGGAGAGTCCCTTTTCACACTTCCGCCGTACGACCTCTCTCATTGGTCATGACAGCCTCATTTCCGCCTAACTTTACCGTGATTGGTGCCCTTAAAGATCTCACAGACACCTGGCGCAGGTGATTGGATTGATCCTTGTGACGTAAGACTTTTAGGGCATCTCTTATTCTCACTGGAGTCCCAAAGTAACTCTGGGAGGCAGAGCGGGGCTGAGTGCAGGGCTTTGTTCCTTCCTCCATCCTCAGACTACCCAGATCGCTAGATCTCTTCCCTTCCTGCTCGGGCCTGGGAAATCACTTATATTTGCTCAGGGAATTAAGACTCGCCGAATCCTGCCGCTTACGTCATCCCATAGAATCTTTAACTTCTTTTTGCAGACAAGGACACAGCCTTGACAAGGTAAAGAATTTCACCGTACGCCACTCATTATTAGTGGAGGAAAAACTAAGTTGATCTTTTGGGAAAGCCTTCCTGGAGCACCTTACAACAAGTAGAACCCCGCCCCTCTTTGTCCCCTTATACTTTTGCTTCCTTTTATAAACACATAGAGTGCCACTTGACATATTTTTCTCTCCTCCAATAGAATGTTCTTATTATAGAAAGGACTTTTGTTTTCTCCTGTATCTTTAAACAGTTCTTAGCATTTGGAATTAATAAATGAATAAGAGACTAGGATGAACTTTGATCAGAAGTCTGATTAAGATATGGAAGAGAATTCTGGAAAAAGGAAACAGTAAAGCCTGAAAAAGTGTATTAGAAGTAGGCAAGGAAAGCCCGGCTCTGTGGCGCAAGCCTGAAATCTCATTGACTCCGGAGGTTGAGACAGGAGAATTGCAAGTTAAAGGCCGACCTCAGCAACTTAGTGAGACCCTGTCTAACAATAAAAAGGCTGGGAGATGGAGCCCAGTGGTAAAGCTCCCCTGAGTTAAATCCCCAGTACTGAAAAAAATAAATAGGCAAGGAACCCTAAGGCATAAGGGAGACAGAAGAGATAAGGTGGAAAAGAGGATGTAGAATACCAAGAAACTTAGAACTTAGGATAGTAATTTGCATTTTATCCTGAGAACCATCAAGAGAGTTTTGAGCAAAGGAGTGATAGGACATTCCCCATACCCCCTCACCCCCACATTGCGATTGAACCCAGGGTGCTCTACCTCTGAGCTACATGCTCAGGCTTTTTTTTTCCTCCTAGCCCTTTTTATTTTTGTGGTGCTGAAGATTGAACTCAGGGGCATCTTACCACTAAAGTACATCCTCAGCCTTTTTGAGATGGGATTTCACTGAGTTGCCCAGGCTGGTCTCTAATTTGTGATCCTCTGTTTGTTTGTTTTTTTTTTAAAGAGAGAGAGAATTTTTTAATATTTATTTTTTAGTTCTCGGCGGACACAACGTCTTTGTTGGTATGTGGTGCTGAGGATCGAACCCGGGCCGCACGCAYKCCAGGCGAGCGCGCTACCRSTTGAGCCACATCCCCAGCCCTAATTTGTGATCCTCTGGCTTCAGCCTCCCCTATAGCTGGGACTAAAGGCTTGTGCCATCCAAGTGTAGTTCTTTCTTTCTTTTTTTTTTTTTTTTTTTTTGTGTGTGTGCTGGGGATTGAACCCCAAGGAAGCAAGCATCTACAATTGAGCCACATCCCCAGCAAGCCTGGCTCATTCCTAAAAGATTATACAGTAAAAACTTGTGGAATGAATAAATGAAATCTCCAAGGTGAGCCCCTAAACGATAGAAACAGACATACAACATCTTCCTCAGTTGAGAAACATTTATTTGAATAAGAAAGGCAGCACATGAGCCTGGGGCTGCAGCTGGTCTGGCTCTCAGGCCTGAGACTCTGCAGCTTGCCTAGGTTGGGAAGAACACTTTCTCTTGCTGAGGTTGGTGAGGATCTGGTCCTGGCTGGGCCGGTGTTGAACCACGAAGCTGTCTGAAGGAATGATGGGACCTCTGTTCTCATCCACTTGGCCCATAATCAGATAATTGAGTCCTGGGGGAGGAAGGGTGGGATTGAGAACTCACATTGCTGATACCTTGTGTCAGGGTGTATTCTCAAGATTCCATGCCTATCATTTTAATGTGGCTAAGTGCCCCCTTTCCCATTCCCATCTCTGTTACCTTTCTTCATGAGGGGGCATGGCCTGCAGGGCACGTAAAACTTCAGGAGGGTGTCAGTGGGCGGAGAGGGCAGGTCTAGTCCTCCAGTTTTATAAGCACCAATGAGACTGACAGTGACAGTGAGACCCTCTCCTGGGCCCCGTACCATGGACTTCACTGTTGCAGTCACCACTGTGGGAGAATGGGAGTGAGAGAGATGAGAAGACAGGAGGCCAGGGCAGGTGTGAAACCAGAAGGGGATTATAGTTAGAGGAGCTGGAAGGGCAGGAGAGGGAGATGGGTCTTCTTACCAAGATCACTGGCACAGAAGTTGCTCTGCAGTGTGCCTGTCCTCCGGCATTGCTTTGGGCAAGGGACAGTGGGTGTATCTAGGAGGGAGGGTTACTGTTTGTGGAAGGTGACCTACCCAGCAAGTATGGAAGGACCACTTTTCCCCATAACAGTCCCATAGGTTTGAACCCCTTCAGAGCTCTCTTCACCTTTGGTTCCCAGCACCCAATACCAGCCATTGGCAGGAAGGAGGCTCTAGTGAGTGCTGAATAAACAAGCCAAGGAAGAACTATCCCCTCCCCCAGCTGGTAATGGGGATTGACCCCAGGGGTGCTACATCCCCAGCCCTATTTTTGAGACAGGGTCTCACTAAATTGTCAAGGCTGGCCTGGAACTTGGCATTCTTCCTGCCTCATCCTCCTTAGTCGCTGGGATTAGTCAGGATTACAGACGTATATCATAGGTCAGCTAAGGAAGAACTTTTTGAAACAGTTCTGTTCAGTTCACATCCTCTTCTTCACCCTTCCTAGACTCACCAGGGCCCAGTGGAGTTGCTTGGGCTTCAGGTGAGACCTCTGGCTTCTCTCCAGGCTGGAGTTTGGGCTTGGTGGGTGGCTTGACTTTGGGCCTAGCTCCAGGTTTTGGGCCAGGGCCTAGAGATGGGGGACCTGGCCTGGTGTCCTTCCCTGGGTTTGGGGCTGGCCCCTTTTCAGCAGTGCCTCGTGGCACGGTCCTGTAGGAGGCTGAGAAGCCATCGGCGGTGACACTGAGATCTGAGACGAACTGGACCAGAAGCTCATTACCTTCTGAGGAGATGGGGCTGCGGGCAATGGGCCATCAGGAGGTATTAGAGCAGGCTGTGCACCCCTCTCCCTCCCAGTCTGATGGTCTTTTGATCTCTGCTCCTCAGTTGTCTGCATTAGTTTCCTGACTTCACAGAATCCCCATTCATCTCCTAGTCTCTGGATCCACAGACCCCAGACCAAGCCTCCTCCTTGTCCACTACTTGTTCTTTGCTCTGGTTTGGAGCCCAGGAGCTCAGATCCCACCCCTCAGCCGAGTTCCAACCCTCAAAGCCCTGGCCAAGCCAAGCTGACTCACCCAGAGAAGCGACTCTCACCCAGTGAAGTGAAGATGCCCTGGCCACCGCCCACCTAGGTTCTGCCCCCTCACCCAGGGGATGTGTCGCCGCAGAACTTTCCCAGCCTCTTGGCATCATCATTCACTGCTCCATTGAACACGCTGACCGAGTCATAGCGGCAGTAGGTGTCTGGCTCCAGGTCAAACTTCCCGAAGGTCAGCGTGATCACCTGGTGGAGGCGAAGGCTGCGCTGGGGGACTGCTCCTGGTGCCTCCCAGGTGCTTGCTGGAGTCTTATCCACTCCCTGCAGCCCTCTGAGCCCCTCCCTTAAGGCATTCTCACTGCTGCTCCTGCTTGGAAGGTCATGAACTCCCTCGGTACCCTGCAGGAGTGTCCATCACCTGCTCACTAGGGAGAGACTCCCACCTGCATAGCACTACACAGTTTGCTAACACCTTGTACCTAGCTCTCCTCCTAAGACTTGTCACAGTTTGTAATTTTAGCTTTTGTTTGAATGCAAGCAGGGTCTGGGTCTGGTTTTGATCCCCAGTTTAGGGCTCCAGACACAGAATGTTAAATAAATCTTCACTGGCTGCATGTTGGAGGATGCTGCCTGGGTCCCCTTGGGCAGCTGGGACTAGGATGCAGTACCTGGTCTGGGGGTGCGATGATGTGCCAGGAACAGCTGATGCCCGGGGGGTAATCAGACTCTGGCCAATTGGGCGTGGTCAAGGTTCCCTGTTCCTTCTCCATCCGCCCCCCACAAAACTGGTGCTCTGGGGAGGGGAGAGAGGGGCGGGGGTGGGGGGCGGTGGAAACCCTCGGTCAGCTCCAGAAGAGCTCTAGGCTGGGAGCCGGCAGGCAGCTGGGATGTCTGGGTCTCAGGATGAGTGGACAAGAATCAGGGCAGGAGAGGGGGGAGGTTAGCAGAGAGGCGCTGGGAGGAGCAGGACAGTCTTGGGCCACAGGGCCCTGGAGGAGGGCAGGAACTGGCTGGATGTGCTCCCTTCTTGCCCCTCCCCTACCCACTGCCACACCGTGCCTCTTCCCCTGGGAGATCCCATCTCCCCGACCCGGCAGAAGAGTCCCCTCTGCAGGCTGGAGAGCCCCCACGTTTTGAGGGTGCCCTCTACTTGGCCTCTTTGGGGAGGTCCCTGCCTGAAACATTTCCAGGGAATTTCTGCTGCCAGGAGGGGGTGATGGGACCGCAATCGGGAGCCCAGGGCTGGGTGTAGGGAACTCCAGGTCGGGGGAACCTAGTCCCCCAGTCCTGGGATGCCCCCTCGCGCCCGTCTGAAGGAGCCCGATTGCGGACGGGGGCGGGCAGTTACTCACCGTCCCAGTAACCCCAGGCCGCCCATTCCACCCGCGGGTCCATGACCCATTTCCGCCTCGAGCCTGGGGGGGGGCCTGGAAGAGGGGTGGGTGGGAGCGGGAGGGGGAGAGAAGACCGGGAGGAGGGACTGAAGGGGCGGTTAGTGAGGAGAAAGGGCAAGAGAGTACTGGTGGCCCTAGGCTCAAGGCGCAGGGTCCTCTGGGGGTTGAGGTTAGGGCTGGGGCGGGACCTGTACGGGGCGGGGCCAGGAGGGGGAGGCGGAGGTGAGGGAGGCTCACCGGTGCCGGAGGTGGCCCGCCCGCTGTACCAGAGCAGGAAGCCTCGTCCTCCTGTGCCCTCGTCGGCTGTCATCCTCAGGGTGACCTGGTTGCCGGGGGCGACTAGGGGCGCTGGCCTGAAGGTCCCGCAGAAGCGTCCAAGCCGCTGGCCAGAGGTTCCAGATCCAGCAAAGACTTCCAGAGCATCATAACGGCAGGAGGGGTGCAGCTCCAGGTCGAAGACTCGGAAGGAGAGAGACACAGTCTGGCCCTCAGGGACCTGATGGTGGAGCAGGAGGCAGGGGACCCACAGAGTCAGACTACACACAACCCTGACAGAGGGCATCTCCCCTTCCACAAGCATTTTCTACTGAAATGGCCTGGACTAGAGGGGATCTCATTCAGGTGCAGAGCAAAGGGTCTGGGCTCTGCAACAGCCTATGGTCTCAGGAGATTTTAGCAAAGACAGAAAGGAAGTTGGGAGTAGGGAATCAGGATTGGAGATATGAATTAAGGATTAATTAATTCTGGGGCTGTAGCTCAGAGGCAGAGCACTTTTCTAGCACATGTGAGGAACCACATGTGCTTAGCATCACATTAAACAACAACAAAAAAAAGACGGCATGTTGTTTATCTACAACTAAAATAAAGTGCAGGGCACTTGTTATTGTAAGGACTAGATGCCCTCAGTGAGCAGAGGGAGAGCAGCGCTTGGAAGGTGGTGCTTGGCAGGGGGCACTCCTTGCCTGGGAGACTTTGATAAGGGGACAGTGATCAGAAGGGCTTTCTCACCGTTATTGTCCAGATGCACTCCTTATTGGGGGGGTAGAGGTTGGGAAAGCCCTCACTTGCCACGTAACCCGACTCCCCAGTCACATCCCCTCCGCACAGGAACACAGGTCTGGAGAACAGAAGAGGTGTCAGGAGTGGGAAGTAGTTGAGATAGGGATGGGTTAATGATGGGAGGATGGGTGATGAAGGAGGCCAAAGGGACCCTGAGGAAGCCTCAGCAGGCTGACTTGCTACTCCAGATTCCTGCAGACAGGAGAAAAAAGTGGGAACAGCAACTGGACCATCCCTCCAACCCCCCAGAGGCCCCACCCCCACCCCAACAGGAATTCCCGGAATCCTTCTCAGCCTCCCTTTCTCACTACTCTCCCCCCTTACCCTGCCTGGCAATCCGGGACAGGAGCCGCCTAACTACTTCCAGATGTGGACAAGCCACGAGGCTGTAGGGGGGAGGGGGCAGAGAGATGCCGGGAGTGGCAGCAGGCAAAGGCCCTCCAGTTGGACCTGGAGACCAGGCTCCCTGCGTTCCCACCTTTGCCCTGCTCCTGTCCTGCTGGCTAGAAGTATCTGACACCCAAGTCTCTGCTCATTACCCCCTCAACCCCCCACAATCTGATTCCTTTCTGGAATCCAGATGTCAGCTACCAGGCAAGTTGGGGTCTTGGCTCTGACTTCAAGCTTCATGGGGGGCCATGGGTCTGGCTGGTGGGGGAGACTTAGGAGGGTGAAGGAGTGGAAGACTGCTCCTGCAGCAGAGGGGGAGGACTTAGGCATAGGGTGGTGGTGGTGGGAAACCTGGGGGGCTGTTAGCAGAAGAACCCAAAAGACTCACAGGCATTACCGTGCCTCCGCACCCCCGGAGGAGTCAGGGTTTTGAAGCTCAATCCAGCCATCTGGAAGATGCCGAGACCTACCTGGTGTAGTTGGGGGTCTGGCCCTGGGCAAGAGGCAAGAAGGGCAGCAGAGCCCAGGCCGTAAGGAGGGGCCCCAGAAGGGAGGCTGGGGCAGCAGACAGCATGGTGGGGGGAGTGTGCTGGGGTCCTCAGCCGGAGGCAGCAGCTGACTTCAGCAGCAGCAGAAGCAGCAACAGCAGCAGCGGCGGCAGCAGGATAATCAGTGCCAGATGAGGCAGCACCGGGTGTGTGGGCGTGGGGACTGGCCAGCAGGGCGGGCGGCAGGAAGGCGGGACAGGGAGACAGCTGGGACAGTGGTGAGTCCTGGGGCCTCTCTAGGTCTAGTACACATCATGACCTAAGGAGGAGGTGGAGCAATGAGGGGCAGAGGGAGTATCATCCATGCATAAAGTAATGTCATCTGGAACCCCACTCTGTCCCGTGTCCGAGTACCTTGTAAGCACAGCTCTGGACCTTCCTGGGGCTCTGTTCCATACTTCCCCACCACACACCCTGCTTCCTCAGAACCCAGATGAGTTCTTCCTGTGTCTTCCACCCAAATAATTTCTCTAGCCTCTTGGCCACCCTCAGCCCTAGCCAGCTTTCTACCATACATTTCTATGGCCTTCCCTCTATCTCTGGGCCAGACAGGCCAGGGAGGAAAAATTCTGCACACCCATTCTCTCTTCAAATAACTGAGGTACAAGAGAGTTGGAGGCATGGAGTGTCCCTCTTACTAAGGAAAGAAGGGAAAGAGTAGTAAGTAAGGCAAAGAAAGGATACAGGAGACCAGGCCTGGGAATAAAACAGGAGGGAGAGAGGAGGGGACTGACTTCCCTGGAACTAGGGCCATGGGTAAGGGAGCTTTACAGAGTCAGAAGTGGCCCCTAAGGATGSAGAAAACACCTGTAGAGAGGATCCAAACTGGGGGACTAAGCAGTGTATGTTGACTGAGTTGTTCCTGAAAGTGGGGCCAGGGCTTCAAAGTCAAAAAGACCTGGTGAAGTCTTGAGAATAAAGCCGAGGACTCAGGTGCCATCAGCTCTTAAGCAACAGAGCTTGAGCTGCTCCTGCCCTCCTTTATCCACTGGGTGGGCATTGTCCCCATCCTCTGCCCAATCCCCCCCAGGCTCCAGGGTTCCAAACGGGGCCTCACTTCAGCCTTTTATTCTATTTGTCCATCAAATCTCTTGTCCATGATAGTCAGACTGGAGGCCCCTCCTGGGCAGCCCCCTGAACATTTTACAAAAGAGTTCCCTGCCCTACCCCCTGTGACCCATCCCCACATGCACACAGTGTTCACTGTCACCACTCCATCTCTCCTTAGCCCCTGGCCCGGGGCCAGACTCCCTCCAGGGGTGAGGTTGGGAGAGGGGAATCAGCTCTCAGGGGTTGATGGGCCTGGGCCAACACCACCAGCAGCCCTCTGCAGCATGTCTAGGGCCTCCCAGAAGAAATCCTTCTGTGCGGCCATCAAGGGCATCCAGCCCACGATCTCCTTCATCTTCTCCATGCGGTCCTGTAAGGTGGGGCAACTGTGGATCTGGCTGAGGTACTCCTCACAGGCCCGGGCTGCCCCCCCAGGGTCCTGGGGGCCTCCAGTCCCCAGGCTGGGTTCAGGGCTCCCCACCACCCTGCTGGCTGGCAGGTCCCTATAGGCAGGGTAGTGCTCAATGTCATGGCTAGACAGCATGTAGAGGCACTCTCTGGTGGAGCAGAGGGAACAGGCACACAAAGGAACCTAGGAGGAAAGAAGGGGTATGGGGTTATGCTCCTGGCTCCTAGAAAGCTGGGCTAATCCACTGTTATATTCACCCTCTCAGACCAGCCCTGAGCCAGCAAGTGAGCTACAGCTGGCTCTCTGCCAAGGTATGCAAGGTTGGACGAGGCCAGCAGGGTCTGCTAAGGGAGAGAGCCATGGAGTGGCTGGAAAGGGAGTTGGAAGGTGCTGAGGAAATGGGACCACTGGGTCCCTGTAGGGGTCCCAGCTATAGTCCTATGGGCTACCTGGCTCTATTACTCTTGCCCCCGCTGGTTGCCCCATTGCCTCACTCTGCTCTGACCTTGACGTGGAGCTTGACGAAGGAGGCACTCCCCTTAGGCCAGCCGGGGAGGCGGCCTCCAGCCCCACAGCCGCAGCCCAGAAGTTCCTTGCTGAAGTCCGAGCCCTGGCTCAGCACCAGGGAATGGTTGAGGCCGCACCACAGGGCAATGGGGCATTGCAGATAATGTACCTAAAAACACATGGCCAGGGTCCTTGATGGGGGAACCTCAGGGGGCTGGGAAGCCCAGATCAGAGAAGGTTAACTAGGAGGCTCAGGGCTGAATGTAATTAAGGGAGGGAAGAAATGGGAGTCTGCTCTCCTCCTCCAAGAGGTCTGCACTGCCAAATGCAGAATAGCAGTAATCTGTCCCTTCTTGGTACCCCTGTAAGCCTCCAACAATCTAACCATATGGGGTGTCTGGTACTTCTGTGGGTACCTCATCTTTGCTCCCCAGAAAAAAAGCTCTTGTCTGAGGCTGGGGCCTGCTATCTACTCTACTCCCTCATTTTCAGGCCGCAGGTCTGTGCCATCCAGCCTTGTAGCCTCAGAGGGGATTAGCCTTCCTCTTTGAGAGTTGAAGCCTCCTCTCCCTTCCTGGGCAATTCCATATTAGCCCCAAGGAGACATTCCTTCTACTATCCCTCCTGGCCTCTAGCATTTTCATTTGTCCTATCATTATCTTCAAAAGTGGCCACACTATTTTGAAAAAAGACCACCTGATTTCTTTTGCATCGCCCCCCCCCCCCATGCAGAATTGGTTATGAGACCAGTCTGAGGTTGACTGTTCCTGTTCCTTACCATGGCTAGTCTTTCCTGAACCTCCTTTTGATCTGGCTTCTCTCCCTATGACTCTACTGACATGTTATTTCCAAAGGCATTTAGTCTCCCAGCTGCTAAATCCCAGGACTTCTCATATGTTCATTCTCCTGAGACTATTAGAACTTTAATTCCAAAGACATGAGTAAGTAATTTAGGGTCACTAAAGGAAAAATGACAATGTATTGGCAAGCAAAAATTTTAAAATCACTGGAAATCCCACTACCAACTATTAGCATCTGCTGAATATTCTTCATTTCTGACTGAACAAATACACATAAATTACATATTTTTGAGCAAAAATGGGATTATACTATATAATCAGTATCATAAAGATTTTATTCTATATGTTTTGTGGCACTTGGGATTGAAACCAGGGCCTACACATGCTAGATAAGTGCTTTACCACTGAGCTATATCTCCAGCCCTTTCTATTTTGAGACAGGGTCTCACTGAATTTCCCCTGCTATCCTTGAGCTTGTTATCCTCCTGCCTCAGCCTCATGGTATTACAGGTATGTGTCACCACACCCAACTCTTCAGGTTTTTTTTCTACCTAAAAATATGGAACAACCATCTTTCCATGTCAGTAATGGAAAGTTCCTATATTGCCACACTGTGACCATTACCACCCTTCTCATGTACTTCATTTGAAAAGAAACTTTCTGCTCTCATGACTTTTGGAGTGTGGCATTAGAGGGGCATGCCTCCTGTTCTTTTCTTCATTTCCCTGCCTATCATTGTGATTACTGCCCACATTTGCTTTTGTCATTTCAACCTTGTTTCAATGTGGAATCTTATAGCCAGCTAGATATTTCCAACTTAATACTTTCCTCTCACAGAAAAAAGCTAAATTCACACTCTTTCCTCAAAGCAGTAATCAGTTTCAAGGGCCTGTTTATTTCTTCTAAAACATCTCCTATACCCACCCATTCCTTTTCATTTTCACTGCCACGTACCAGCCAGCCCAGGTCCTTGTCTCAGGCGCTGCTTTCCCTTACCAGCTTCCTGGGAGGCTGCCTGCTCTGGAGCTCCATTGCACTATGGTCAGCTGACCAGTTTGGTCACCCCTTGGTGGCCACCTTCTGTTCCAGAACCTGCGATGATTCTTTCCCATGTCTACCAGGCTTGCAACTATACTGATACCACCTCATATTCTCACTGATTTCCAACATACCCTCCCTTTAATCAGGCCAATCTTTCAATGGTCTCAGGTATGTGCAAGATTCAACCCTGTCCCCATCCTCAGAACAAAAACTACCTTTCCCTATCCCCACCTGAACCCTATCTAACCCATAAGACCCTGCTGGCATCTCACTTCTTCTAGTTACCCTAGTCCACCCAGGTCCCTCAGTCCACACCTTCACCAAATTCCCATTACAGTGACAGCATGCACCACACAGAATGGACATCCTAGTACCAACCCTGGTTAAGCTTATGCAACAATATCACAGGCATTACCCTAATGATTGGCTTAACTTTCCTGGGGAGGAGAAAGTGAATTCTGTGGAAATTGAGAAGTGGATAGATGCAGGGATTAGGAAATTGGAGGAAGAGGGTTGGGATGAAAATTACTGGGGAACAATCTTACCTGTGTGGGTTCCCCTCGATCCATTTTGTCCCCTGTTCCCAATTGCCCATATCTGTTATTTCCCTGCATAAAGATTCGGCCAAATTCATCCACCAGGCCAAGGTGATTGTAGCCAAGAGCACAGAATAGGATCTACGATATAAGAGAAAAAGAGCAGGTGGGCCTTGGGCTCCCTCCAGAGGAACCATGAGCTCAACTGCTAACCTGCCATCCCCCAAGCTCATCTCTTTTGGCCTTGCCCTCTATGTTACCCCACTCCTTGAGTCCCCTGCCCCTCTCTGATCAATCATTTAATTTCGGTCCATATTTCAGGCCCTTGGTGTCTTCCAATCCCTAAAGCCCCATCCCTCTGGTCTGCCCCATCCCTCCAGATCCTACCTTGGCAGGCAGTGAGAGAGCGAGTGGCATCTGCTGGTCCAAGGGGTCAAAGGCTTGAAGGGTCCCAAAGAGATCACGATACACCCCTGGGGTATGCACCTCAAAATACACTCCCCCCTGGTCTGGGGGGTCGGGAGCCCTCAGCTCAGCAGCTTTGGGCACCCGTTTCCTAGGGATAAGCCCCCACCTGGGATGAAAACTGCAAGATCCAGGGAGTCTCATACCCTCTAGAAATGCATCAGCTCTGATGCCTGGGAACCTAGACATATCTTTTCACTAGGATGCCCTAAGGGGTTTATGTCACAGAGTTGGAATAAGGGTTAGGGGTGTCAGCATTTGGAAGGGCTATTAAAGGTTGGGATCTTGAAAGGAAGTGAGATGCTTCTTACCCGTGATGTAGAGGGTACTGCTCTGGTTGGAAGCCATGCAGGTCACACGCAGGTGAGGCAGGCAACGGGACACTTTCCTGAGGGCCAGCTGAACTGTGTAGGAGCGTGGCTGGTCCAGCTGGGTCTCATTCACTACCAAAGAGTAGATCTTTCCTTCCTCTGGGGAATGAGGGTAGTCATACAATTATGTGGGGGAGAGGGCATATCAATATCCAAATCAATGCTCAATGGACTCCTTAAGCCATGCAGGGTGAAACATTTACTGCCCTAGAATGGGGTTGGAGAAAAAAAGATAGACATGGGGTTGGGGTTGTGGCTCAGCGGTACAGCGCTTGCCTAGCATGGGCGAGGCCCTGGGTTTGATCCTCAACACCACATAAAAAAATAATAAATAAACATAAATAAATACTATATATAAAGACTAGACACAAAATAAAGGAAGAGAGGCCTCAAGTCCCTCAGGCACCAATTGCAAAAATACATCAGAAAGTAGTTCAGCATGAGAGATGGGGAGAAAACGTAAGCGTTAGATATGGCAGAATCTAATTTGTTAGGAAGAATGAAGTCTGGGGACTTAGGGCCCTGCCTGGCATTCAGAAGTCCACAGGAATTCAGACTTGAGGGTGTGGTCAAGCATAAAGGATACTGAGAAGTGGAGGACAGCTTGGTGTATTAAAGTGAGGTCCCTGGCATGGAAGTTGGGGAGATTAGAATTTTAAAAATTAGGCATTCACTAGAGCAGTGGTTTCTGGACTTTTTTTTTGGCAGCAGGGCCCTTTATTGGTATAAAATAGGATGCAGAGTTCTAGACTGAGAGTGAGATAAAGGCGAAGCTATTTGGATTGAGAACCAGAACAGGTGGCATGTGGATCCTGAGAGGCCTCATCCCTGTCCCCTGCAGCAGGTCTTGAAGAATCTGCAGGACACATTTACTAAACATTGCTTCAGGCCATACCTGTGAGGAGCAATAGAGCCCGTTGGGTCTCCTGACCAACCAGCACAATCTGTTTGAAGCTCATGGAGTGGTGGAATGTCATCTTGAAGACCCGCTGCCCGCTGGACTGCAGATAGACCTCCACGCAGTCACAGGCCCGACTGCTGGTTGTGCCTACCACTCCTGGCTGCTCACGAGTGGCCAAGACGTAGAGGTATTTACGGTAAACTGTGTCACATCTTGGGTCTGAGGCAAACTGTGGAGATAGATGAGGGATCTATGGCCTGGGAAAGGGATGGGGCTGGAGCAAGTGAATCCTGGGGTGGGAGCAGAGGTATTTGCATCCAGGTTTGGGAAATAAAAACTTGTTTTCAGGTTCCTGGTAAGAAAGGGTCAGTGTCCTAACAAGGGCACCCTAGGACTGGGGCCTCAGGGCCCTGGAGGAGGGGGTGGGTTCTTAGCTGCCACAGTTCTGCTACTCACATCCTTGGCTCCACGACATAATACAACATAGCGGCAGGCCCGCTTCCACTGGATCTGGCCAAGGGTGGAGGAGACCAGTGCGTTTTTAAGGAAGAAGAGGGTCCCCACGTAGTCGAGAATGAAGACATGATCCTTGGTGGGCAAAAAACGGCGGTAGCCATGGGCTAGAAGGGGGGCCACACTCTTGCTGAGACATCGGCGGCGGCCACCAAATGCCTGAAAATACAGGCCCTTCGTGTCTGGAGAAGGGAAGTACATAGAAGGTTAAAGAGTGTCACTGACACAATGTGGATGGGTCAGAACACAATGTGGATGGGTAAACTAGATTTCTCAGACATCTTAATATTTAGCTTTTCCTCATCCCTAGGACTGGGGAACAGGTTCCTTTCCAAAGGAGACCTGGAAAGCTTAGATTATACCCCATATCTTCCCCGCCTCAGCCCAGGGTCAGACACATGCTTATTTTAAGTAAGCACCTCTTTGGTCTGACCTTTCATCAGAGTCAGCAAGGAAACATAAGAACAAATCCACAGAAATGAGGCAGAAAGAGAAGTGAAAAGGAATGACCAAGAAAGGCCAGTAACCTTCCCTCACCCCCAGCTGTGGATCTGTTTTCTGGATCAGTCTTCTCCCCTAATCTCCCTGTGTGTGAAAGAAGTAATTGGATAGGGGCTCTCTGGAGTGGCAGGGGTTTACAGTATGATTCTCAAGCTAGGGGTGATTTTGTCCCTTGGAAGACATTGGTTGGTACAACTAGGGGAGTTGCAACTGGAATCTAGTGGGTAGAGGCCAGAGCATCCCCTAACATCCCCACAGTGCACAGGAGCCCCACAATGAAGAAATACTTCACCCAAACTGTCAATGGTGACAAGGTTCAGAATCCCTGGTTTAGAAAAGGAAAACTCCAGGTTTGGGGAATAGATTTAAAGAGCTAGTGTATGGAGGGAGACTTGGCAGGGATGCTAATGGGGGCAGTGGGAGGGAAGGACGTATGTATATATTGGAGGGTGGCCCCAGAGCCTTATAGGAAACTCAGTGGACTATGTTTGGATCTGATAAGTTTCTTCCAGAGAAAAGGGCTGGGAGGTTGACAGGGAGTGCAGAGGTCAGCAGGCAACTTTACAGAGCAGGAGGTTTCCCAGAATAAGAAAGGACAGAAGCAAGGAGGGAGGTAGGTGCTGGGGAAGGTGTACAGTTAAGAATGGCAGCTCTCTTCCAGGGCCGGACCCCAGAACCCTGCTCTCGAAGGCGTGGACTGAGCCTGCGGCAGATGCGTCTCCACACTCCTTCAGCATCGCACACTTCATGGAAGTAGTGGCAGGTCTGGCCTAGGGCGACTACATCTCTGACTGGAAGGAATGAGATGATATGCTCCACCTGGAGGTAGCAGGGAGGAAGTGGAGGTCACTGGGAGCCCCTAGTGGCCTGGCCCCCAGTCCTTCATTCTCAATACTTCAGCTCCTAAGACTCACCAGCTCTGGGGGAAACAACTGAACAGAAATAGGATTCCCTCTTCCCTTCTTCTCTTCACCCCCTGGCTCCGGGCCACAAGAAGGACAGCTCCGCTTCACCTGCAGAGGGAAAGGGGAAGTATGGGGGGTCCTGTGAGGGCCCCACCTCTTTTTCTCCCTGCTCTTGACCTGTCTTTCATAAATTCCTGTTGGGGCTCATCTGACTCCAGCTCTGTGCTGTCAAATCCTCCCATCTCTCTCCAGGTCCCTGGGCCAACCCTCCCTGTCTGCTTTGTTCCTTGACATAACCCATCCCCAGATCTCTTGCTGCCATCATCTCCCTGCCCTTCCCTTGCCTTGCCACCCCCTCACCCTGAGCCCCTCCTCCCGTCCGCACAGCCCGGTCAATTTTTGCAGCTTTTGTCTCCGGCTTCTCCTCATCATCCTGCCTGTCCCCTCCCTGCTCCTGCCCTCATCTCTCCGGGCCCCTTGGCCCCCCGTACTCAGCTCCCTGGCCCCTGTCCTGGCTGCCTTTCCCACACCATGTCCCCTGCCTGGGCTTGGGGGACCTCTGGGGCCCCTCTACCTCCTAGGCCCCTCCCCCATGGAGTCTGGGACAAACAAACCTCTCTATGACCTCACTGTCCAGCCACTGTGACCTGTTTGCTTTAACCTGGACCACGGACCTGGCTCCTGGGTTCTAGATCAGCTCTAGCTACTGGAATGCTCGTGAGCTTTGCATTTTACTAGAGAAATAAAGTGTAATCTACTGGTAGATGAGGCCTTGACTTTCAGGGAATAGTAGGAGATTTTCCATATTTCATATTTTCCATCAGTGTTTCCTAACACTGATGAATCCCCCACATTTCAGCAGGCTGGGGCCTCCAGGCACTTCAGTTTAAGAGTATAAACTCAGAAAAGGAAAAAAAAAAAAGAAAAAAAAAGTATAAACTCAATTTTATAGGTGAGGAGGAAAGAGGACTCTGCTCTGACTACTTTGCTCACAAAGGCACATAGCAGATGAATGTGGGAACAATTTGGCACAAACTTACAATCTTAAGAAAACACATTCAAAAGCAGATTGCTTTCTGGAGGACCAGTAACATCACTGCATGTACAAAGGGACAAGCTATTAAGGTGGGAAATATGGATGGATTTGCTCTGAAAGCTTAGAATCTATCTCCCAGAGCCTAGGCGATTGGCTTCTTCTATGGGGGTGACATTTAGGAGAAATAGCAGGAGTTGAGGTTGTATCTGACCAGGTAGGGGCAGAAGATCTGCAACAACAAATCCAAGGAGTAGCTGGCTCTTCCAGGGACTCAGTCCTGTTAGACAACCAACCTGCACAGCACCAAATTATAGATCCATTCTTTGACTAGCTAACCAACAGACTGTTCACCACCCACTCCAACTTCCTTATTTATAGTAACTAGTAAATTGCTCCTTTGGGGCACCTAAGAAGAAATTTTAACAATTTAATAAACATTTAGGCCTATCAACATCTGAGATGTGACTTAGGAGAAAGCAACTTCAGTTATTGGTGATCAGGCAACCAGCAGCATACGAAGTGGACTCTATGAGGGTCTTACGGGGCTGCAAAGGGTGGTATGACTTTCAAGGAGACAGAACAAGCACTTTCTGCTGCCTTTTGCATTTGGTTCCCTTTCTTCATTTCATTCTGAGAAGTAAACAAGAGATTTCGAGCAGACACTGTCCACTCTAAACACAGAGGAAGTGAGGAAGGACCCCACGTAGAGGACTGAGATCTGGTTTTGGGTGCCAGCAGTCAGGGTCCTGCTGTTTGCTCTTGCTAACTCATCAACTTCTCTCTGCCTCAGTTTCCTCATCCATAAAACGAAGGTCTTGTTCTACACCAAGAGGTCCTTTCTAGCCTCTAAAATCCTTAGGACGGGTGGTCACCAATCCTGCCCAGGGAAGCTTCTCTGGCGAAGCTCGCAGGCCAGGACATTCCCCCTCCGTGAGCTGGGGGTCTATAGGCTCAGGGAAGCCGCCGCCCTCTGCCCAGGGATGAGGGGAGTCAGTGCTCAGACTCCTCAGGCGGAAATAGCCCTGGGGCCTCTACGCAGAGACCAACGCCTGTGAGCTGGCCTCAGGTTCTCATCGGCCTCTCTCACGCCCTCGACGCCAGCTAGCTTCCTAACATGTCCAACTTGTATACACTATCCAGCCCCTGCACTGCGGTCCCATCCGGCCCAGCGCGCGGCGCTCACTTTCTTTACCTCAGTCTCAAAGTTCTAGCTCACCCGCCTCCTTCTTAGCGAAGGGACCGCCTTCTCGCCCATGCTATTGGTAGGTAGAGCCGTCCCTCAGAGAAGAGGCCGGGCCAGGTTCCCTCCGGAGGCGCTAATTGGCCTTCTTGACAGTCACTCGCCTGTATCTGCTTGCGATTGGCCTTCGTTAGAAGAGGACCACGTGCCTCCGGCTTGTGGTCTCTCAGTCTCTATCTCTCTTAGTAGAGTACCGGTGTCCCCGCCTCCTGGTAGGACCTGATTGGCTCCATCTCCAGTTCTGAGCATTGTGATTGGATGCGGCTGCGCGGGGTGGGCCGGCCCGGAGCGTCGGCCGTTGGCGAGCGCTCCATTCTCTCCCCCTCCCTCCCCTCTCCCGGCTCGTGCGCCGGAGGCTCCACCCCCCGGGCGGGTTCTGATTAGCGGCCTCCGACGCTTCTTCGGACCACGATTGGTCCGCCGAGTCCCTGACCCCGTTTCCTCCCCCTTGAGGCGACTACGGCGGCTCCAAGGAGGGGGAGGGGGAAGGAGGGACGGCCGGTCCCGTCAGTCAGGCAGCGGGAGCCGCCGGGAGCGGATGGCGGCGGCTGTAGCGGCCCCTCTCGCCGCCGGGGGTGAGGAGTCGGCAGCCACGATCCCCGTGCCAGGGTCTCCGGGTCTGCCCGGGAGCCGCAGCGCAGAGCGGGCCCTAGAGGAGGCCGTGGCCACCGGGACCCTTAACTTGTCTAATCGGCGCTTGAAGCACTTCCCCCGGGGCGCGGCCCGCAGCTACGACCTGTCAGACATCACCCAGGCTGGTGAGTGCGCCCGGCCCAGGGTCTCACTGCGACCCTCATTTGCATAGCCCCGCCCCCTCTTGTTCCCCCTCCCCGCTTGCGAGTTTGACCCGCCCCTTCACCTGGCGGTGGGGGTGCACGCCCCTCCTAATTGGCATAAGGCTGCGACCACCCCCTCCCTGCTGTAAGAACCACTGGACAATGAGCGCACTTCTAGTTTACACAGAACACCCAGAGTCTCTGGCCGAGCATTATGAGACACTTCCCCTCTTATTTGCATATTGCGCACCTGTAGAGTGGTCCCGCCCCTCACCTGGTTGGCTCATTTGCATGACCTCTTCAACCTTAGTTCCATAAAGCAGCCCCCATGGGCTTTTCTAACTACACCTTTCTCTCCCTTCTCGTTGTCTCCAACTCCTTACCCTCTTCCACCGAGATCCGAGCAGCCCCGGGCACCCGTTTCCCATGGATCGCTTCTAACAACGGGATGTTTTTGCTTACTTTGCCGTAGTCCCGCCCCCTAAAGTCCCAGACCCTCTCTACTCTTCACCCAGCCAGCCTATGGGAAAGAAGCAAATCTGCCTCCCTTAACTCTTCTCCCTATGCTCTTCCGCTCATTATCCCTGAACCCCTTATTTGAGACTCACTCTCTTTCCTGTGTCTATGAAGTCACTTTGGAGCCTGTGACCTCATAGGGATCCTAGAATTCCCTTTTCAATTTCTGCTTTTCCTCCGCGAAGGACTTGAGGCAGTTGCCAAAAGGAAATATATCTCCTAGCCGGGAGTGCTGGGCCTCTGGAGACTCCTCTTTCACGTTCCGCCCTCAGAATCCCTCTAATCATGCTGTCTGCATCCTAGTGTCCGTTGAAGGTGGCTGGTGGGGGGTTCTTCTTTGACAGGTGAGTCAGGCCTCAGCTGCTCAGGAGGCAACCTATGACCTTGGGCTGGCAGCTAGGGGTGGGGATCAGCAGAGAGGAGGATTGCATTCCCCAGCTCCACCCTAGCCTAGGCTGGGGTGTGAGGAACCTCCTCCACTTTTTCTTATCTTCAAGGCCAGGGCTCTGGGGCTGGATGAAAGAGTGCATTTTTCTTCAAGCAGGTGACTGACCACCTGTAAACACTCAGGCTGGCCCAAGCACACACTCCCTCTACTGTTTTGGGGAGAACCAATTTAAACCTCTTTGCTTTTCTTGTTCACTATGCTGTGAGTTCAGGAAATGGGTGAGCCCCACAAGCCATTCCTATCCTTCCCAGGCCCCCCTCCAACCCTCAAGCTCCAGATTGACCTCAGCAGCTGTGTGACACTTGCCGTCTGTTCCCTTTCCCCTCCCCGTTGCTTGTTTTTTGACAAAGACCAAATGTTATTCTGTACTTTCATGAGGCTCTGTCTCAGTGAGTGGACTCTTGGGGAAAACTACCAAGAACTCCAGGGCCCCTCCCAACTTCTGCCCCCTCTCAGCTTCCTCCCCCAGCATTCCGGCTCAGGGTGCAGCATGTGTAGTGAAGCGGGAAAATCCCAGCTTCCTTAGAACCCCTGTGTGCCCTTCTCGGTCCTTTCAGGGCCGGGTTCTAGACCAGGTAGGTTCCATCTCATCCAGATCTCTCTCTTCTGTCCCCTTTCCCCAAATGGAGTGCTCCTAGCCTGGTGTGGAAAGGGGAAGTGACAAAAACACAGGGTTGCCCTTACCCTGCCCTCCACATCTCCTTGCTCTCTAACTCAGACAAACTGCTTCAGCAGTCTGCTGCCAACTCATTCTGAACTCTCTCCTGCTGTTCGTCTTCCCTGAATGTTTCCTATGCTTAGGTCCCTGAAACCCCATGGACTGTTCCCTAGGCCAAATAGTCCTAAGGTGGGGGAGGAAGGGCTGTTCAAGCAAAGGAGAAGTGTCGCTCATTCTCTCATAGACCACATCCTGTGCCCCCTGGGCCCTGCCTCCTCCAGCCTGGGCTCCCTTCCGTTCCTAGCTTACCCCATCAGAACTTGGTCTCCACCCACTTCATCCACATGCACACACACAAAATACATTTGTAGACACAGAGGAAGCAGGCAGGTGTTGAGTGCGGTTGGGAGAACAGATGCTGTCCTCCCACCCTCTCCGGAACCGTCTTCTCTAGTGCTAGGTCTTCTGTCTGTGTACCGGGGCTGGAGCAGAGCAGGAGAGGGAGTGATTCTTGGGACATCAGGCTGTCCTCACCCTAGCAAACAGAGCCTACCAGAAACAATCTGATGGATAATTTCCACTTGATTTCCTGTCACAAGACTCATTTCCTTGGGGAATATGTCCTAGCTTCTCCACACCCCCTCTGCTTTTGCTCCCTCCCTGGTCCCCCTCACACCACCAGAGGGCCCTCAAAGAAGTTCTGTTGCCTGGGACTTCCCCAGCAGGCCTGGGCCCCTCCCAGTGGAGACTGGGCTGAGCAAACAGACACTGACTTATATAGGTCTATGCAGCCAGTGTCTCCAGTCTGAAGGGCATCTCCAGTCCTGCCTCCTGGCACTGCCATGACAAGATACTGCTTGAGATAGAGTGGGTAACAGCTCCTTCCCTCCTCTCACCTCCTCTTCCCCCTCTGTCCCCATACTCCTTGACTTGCTTGAGATAACATACAAAGGAGCCCGAACTCTTGAGGGCTGGGTCAGTCAGAGGGGAAGTAGAGGAAGACCAGTGGCCTAGAAGAGGGTGAAAAGGAGGCCAACCCTGAGGCAGGGGAGCCTAGGGGGGAAGGACCTGAGGACACTGGCTCTCTGTTCATCTCAGCCTTCTCCCTTTGCCTCTCTGTCTTTGGGAGTATGGAACTTCAGGGTCCTTTGGTTCTGGGGCTAGTGAAAAACAAACAAAAACTTGTATCCAGTGCTAGGGCCTTTCTTAATCTCTAAAACCAGGATATAGTGACCCCTGGTTCTCCGTGTGTTGAAAACAGATTGAGGTTGAAGGAGGACTCTGCCAGGAGGACTCTCCCCAGGTATTTTTCATATTCTCTCTCTGAGCTTTCCAGCCTGTCATTTTACCATTTCTTTACTTCTTTCTTTCTTTACTTTTTGGTGCTGGGACTTGAACCCAAGGCCTTGTGTATGCTAGCCACATGCTTTACCATGCCTTAGCTCCCACCTTACTGTTTTCTTGGGACCATAATCCTCTCCTGTGACCTTTTGCCTTCTATCTCTCCAGGCATCTCAGAACATAAGGGACTGTAAGAGTTACAAAATCCAGCCACCCTTCCAGGAGAGCTCTTCATCTGGAGATTGGTGTATCTCTATCCTGCCCCAAATCTGGGCTTCTCCAGCCTGGTGACCCTAAGGTCTTTGCCTTCCCTTTGCGTTTCTGGTCATGCTTGGTGTGTACTCCAGTTTGCAGAAGGCTTTGTTGTCTCTCCAGAAGCCCAGATTTATGGGCTTGATTCTTTAGGTCTTCTGGGGATGGAGAGCAGTATGTCTGATCCAGAGGACATTCAAAGTACCCCTATGCAGGACTGGCCTTTCCACAGCTCTCCCCTGGCACTTGATTTCCCCAGACCTGTCCCGGAACCGGTTTCCCGAGGTGCCTGAGGCAGCATGCCAGCTGGTGTCTCTGGAGGGCCTGAGCCTCTACCACAATTGCCTGAGATGCCTGAACCCAGCCTTGGGGAATCTCACAGCCCTTACCTACCTCAACCTCAGGTAGGGAGGCAGCTGGTCTTTATTGGCTTAAAGAACCAGTGCTTAGTACCCTGAATGACCCTTCCTGTCCCTGAAAAGTGGGCAGTGCTGGGATGCTGTGACTGGGGAGTGAGCCTGCTTCTTTTCTCCCTTCACAGTCGAAACCAGCTGTCATCGCTGCCACCATACATCTGCCAGCTGCCCTTGCGAGTGCTTATTGTCAGCAACAACAAGCTGGGAGCCCTGCCTCCCGACATTGGCACCTTGGGAAGCCTGCGACAGCTTGTGAGGATGGGAAACAGGGCTAGAAGAGGGACTGTAGAGCCAGGCACTAGAGATCTTTGGGGGAGAATCTGGGGAAAGCAGGAAGTATCTTTGAGGAAAGGCTTGGACTAAAGGCCAGTAGCCAGGAAAGACAAGAGGACAGTTTCTGATGATCCTAGTCTTATGACCCCTTCCCAGCTACTTTCTTGATTTCAGGATGTAAGCAGCAATGAGCTGCAATCCCTTCCTGTGGAGCTGTGTAGCCTTCGTTCCCTGCGGGATCTCAATGTTCGAAGGAATCAGCTCAGCACCCTGCCTGATGGTAAGGAAAATGAAGAATTGGATGAGGGGCATGCATGTGTGTGTGTTCGTCATCTCAGGCTGCTGCAACAAAGATACCATAGGCTGGGTGGCTTATAAACAACAGAAACTTATTTCTCAATTTGGAAGCTAGGAGACCAAGATTAGGGTACCTGTGTGGTCAGGTTCTGGTGAGAGCCCTCTTCTTATTGCCAAGTTTTCTGGGACTGCCAGCTTTTAATTGTGGAAAGCAGGAAGGAGAACTGTCTGAGGTCTCTTTTATAAGAGCACTAATCCATTCTTGAGGGCTCTACCCTCATGACCTCCATTGCCACCCAAGTGACCCACACCATTCATTTCAACATATGAATTTGGG